GGTATCTGCTAAAAGTGGTTCGTGATGGTTTTTCTCGGTAAGAAATATATCAGTTTCATTCCTGAGCTGAAAGAAGCGCGAAAGAACCTTTCCACAGGTAAGCCATCGAACTGCAGTATAATATGTCAGGTCAATAAGCTCGGAATCATATTTACCAGTACTCAATAGAAAATTAGTTCAACTGGCCCATTTCTGCACAATTTTTTTGCGGGCCGGATAAAATCACATCGCGGGCCGTAGTTTTTTAGACCCTTATTCTAAACCATACGCCAGTGCCTTACCAAAGGACCGCCACGGTTATGACAACTATTTGCCTTCTTCTTCCACATATCCTACCGCTTCGTTTCTACCTTTACAAAATTCCTCTTTACTACTTGCTTCGTTTCAAAGTCATTTTACGACTGACGGTTGGCCAGTCACTTTCTCTTAACCTTTAATGTCCGAAGTGCCCCAATTGGGCCACTGATGAGTATGACCGTCGTGGCCAAAGTACCCCGTTTCGGCCAGTCGGGCATTTAAACTCCGCTAGTGGAAGCGCGCGCACACGCCGCTAGTAGAAGCGCCTGCACAGTCCTAAATATTTAATTTTATGCGTAGTAATTACAAGACACACTTGAGTAAAACCACAATAAAGGAATTAAAATGATGCCTAAGTGAACAACAGCAAAAAAAAAAAAAAAGAGTATACGTATGAGTTATGCCCAAACTCATCCACGAGCCAATACTTTTATTGCATATTCTGCAGATTAATGTGTTAAAAATATATGGTAAAATTCTATGTACATAACGTTTTTGTTTTTATCTGCTTGATGTATTTACTTACTTACTCATGGAGCTGAGCCCTTCTGGAGGAGCCGCCAATTATGCAGCTAGTCAAGAACTTCCCAGCATTTTATGGAACCCGAAGGTTCATCACCGTGTTCACAAGAGCCCTCCACTGGTCCCTATCCTGAGCCAGATTTATCCAATCCATACCATCCCATCCTATCTCTCTAAGATCCATTTTAATATTGTCCACCCACCTATGCCTTGGTCTTCCTTGTGGTCTCTTTACTTCTGGCTTTCCCACCAATATCCTATACGCATTCCTCGTCTCCCCCATTCGTGCTACATGACCTGCCCACCTCATCCTCCTTGACTTTATCATTCTAATTATACTTGGAGAAGAGTACAAGTTATGAAGCTCCTCATTATGCAGTTTTCTCCAACCTCCTGTCACTTCATCTCTCTTCGGTCCAAATATTCTCAACACCCTGTTCTCAAACACCCTCAGTCTATGTACCTCCCTTAATGTCAGAGACCAAGTTTCACACCCATACAGAACAACAGGCAAAATTATAGTTTTGTATATTCTAATTTTTATGTTTTTGGACAACAGACGAGAAGACAAAAGGTTCTGGACTGAATGGTAGCAAGCATTACCCAAGTTCAATCGCCTCTTAATTTTCTCCTGAATCAGGTTTCGATCTGTTATCGTTGTCCGCAAATATCTGAACTGTGCCATATTTTCAAAACATCTGTTTCCTATCTTTATGTCATGATTTTGCCCTGCATTTTGGTGACGAGACAGTAACATATACTTAGTTTTCTCTGTGTTTACTTCTAGACCAACCTCTTTACTTGCGTCAATTAAAGTTTGTGTTTTTTCTTTATGGTATCTACATTATCATCCAGTAGATTCACATCATCGGCGTAGACCAACAGCTGATGTGTCCCGTTTAGTTTCAGTCCCACCTGGCTTCTCTGGACGTTCCTAATTGCATATTCTAAGGCAAAGTTGAAAAGGAGTGGCGATAAAGCATCTCCTTGTGGCGATAAAGCATCTCCTTGTTTTATATCATTCTGGATAGGAAATTTATCAGACAAATGTTTACCTACACGGACTTTACTATACGTTTCGTTTAAACACATTTTAATCAACCTAACTAGTTTCATGGGTATCCCAAACTCTATCATAATATTGTACAATACTTCCCTCCTAACTGAATCGTAAGCTTTCTTGAAGTCTATGAATAGCTGATGTACTGTCTCATTGTACTCCCATTTCTTCTCTAATATCTAACGAATGCAAAAGATCTGATCTGTTACGTCGAAACCCACACTGATGATCCCCAATAGTTTCATCTATATATGGACTTAACCTTGAAAGAAAATATTGGACAAAATTTTATATGAAGTTGATAGCAGTGATATCCCCCGATAATTACTACAGTCAGTTTTATCACCCTTCTTGTGTACTGGTACAATAATACACTCCTTTCACTGATCAGGCAATTTTTCCTTATGCCAAATAGAAGTAATTAGTGAAACTACAGTATTCGATTTCACTAGGAACGCACAGAAAACAGATCGCATTCTGTACATCAGCTACGACGCAACTGTCTGTTCACGACCCTAGAAAGGGCAATAATCTCTTGCAGCTATAACGGAAGGTCTTAGCACTGAAGCAGGGACCCCTCTAGCTTTCTTCTGAATAGCCAATCTTTCATTCTTCTGTCCTTTAGTCAAAAGATTCGAAAATCCGAAGAGTGTAAACAGTGCTAGCAGAAGACGAAATGACTTTATTGCTTCCATCTGTTTCATGATACCAGGGACTACTAAAATTTGTCAAGTGTTACAAACAGAAACGATTATATAATGCAGAACATCTCTGTGAAGAACTGGGAAACCATTTTTTGCAGTACGCATCAAAATTAAAAGAAAAAAGAAATTGAAAATTGAGTATAACACTCTGTATAAAAATTTTCAAATCTTCCGTTATAACATGCGACACTATGTTCTTTGCTGATACAAACAAAGTTAATTCCATCCAAGAATTGAGTTAGATACAGCATTTTTAAACAAAATGCTTAAAATTGATTAAGCGCACTAACAGGAACGGACATTTAGAGGCAGAGTAGCAACGGACATTTAAATAAACTTCGGCCAGCTCAAGCTTACCACCATGTCAGAAGCACGGCGTTTAGAGGAATGTGTTATATATATATATATGCAGCTAGCAGTACCCATTGTAGGCCGAATGTTATACACTTGGTCATCGATTTGCAACCGACACCCGTTCTGACTGACAGATCGTAAGTCGGCCATGTATTTATTAACAGTATTTTTTAACCTTTCTAATCTTTTTATCATTTTTATAATTTATTTTTAGAAACTTTTAAATTTCAATCTTTTTTATTTTTTGTGGTCGTAAGTCGACGACCAAAAAAGAGAGTGAGTGGGTGAGTGGGTGTGGGTGTGAGTGTGAGTGTGTGTGTGTGTGAGAGAGCGAGAGAGAAAGACCATCATGGACTTCTCATGTGTCATAAATCATTTACTGCCAACAGTATCTTGGGAGCATGTCTCCAGATATCACAACTGATTATAGCTTCCATATAGTTTTCTTTTGACCCAAAAAATATTTCCCAAAACTTACCCCTCCCAAATGAGCTTTTGCAAGAGAAAAATGACCTCTATAATCTCCTCCTGTCCATCCTTTATGAAGAGCCCAATAATTTTAGCCCTTCTTTTTAAATTAAAACACATTTTTAATTTCCAAACATACCAATCACAGTTCATTTCTCATTCAAATAACTTTCACCATTCTTACTGTAATTTCAAAGTTCAGTATCTACCTTACAAACGCTTGTGCAGCAAGACTCACGCCACGATTCACTTCCCCTCACCATCTGCTGATTACTGCTGATTATTCATCCCACGATGAATCACTAATTCTGTCTACACATTCATATTATGTCTCTTAGCTTTAGCTAAGCAACTTGTATGATACTGGAGGATAAATATAGAAGGATAAGAGACCAATACAGAACATACTGACCATTGCTCTAAGAATAGGCATCCACAAACAAAAAAATCACATTCAAGAGAAGACTCTTGTATTGCTTATAAACACTGCACAAACAAATTAATCCAGCACTCAACTCAATACAATACATTATTGCCATCAATACATGATCTTTACATTACAGACTGTACAACACAACATTCAAACAGGATGCTTCTACACAAGCTTTCCAGACCTCAGCTCAGGAACCTAACACACAACATGGCAACATTCCTGAAAACTAACCAGGCCTTCAACAGGATGGCATCCTGAAAAGTAACATTTCTTTTCTTTTACCAAACACATTAATTCAATTACATCTTCACACTACTGTCTCTAGACATCCCTCAATTACAGCTGAAAAATGTTGCAGTATACAGAGATGTGAGTGCAATACAATCTGTCCAGTGATCTACATCCTCACTGTGCAAATCTTTCCAATCATCAACATTCACTGGCGATCATCATCACCATCACCATCACCATCAGCACCACCACCACCATCATCTTCGCCACCATCCCCTCCACCATCATTTCCACCACCTCCACCCACCACTATCACATGATGAAGTCAAGATGGTGGTAGAGATGTCCTTCCATCCACAATATGCAGACATCTGATTAAATGCACATTTCCAAATACCCCAGCACTCACAAAACTCTGTTGACTGCTGGTGATCATGTTCACAATTGTGTACAGTTGCACCAAACATTAAAAAATTATCCATTTTTGTTTCAATAAAATACTCTTTTTTTTTCCTTTTCAGCCTGCCCTCTTGCATAAAATTTACGTAACTTGCTACTCTTAAAATAAATTGAAGAGATAAACAGACATGAATACTTACACACTACTGCACTCAGGAGAGTATTACAAACTGTGAAACAAATAAGAATTATATGTATTCCAAAAAAAACACAAATCCAAGAGATCGTAACACATACAGTACTGCTCCTATTTTATCACCCACCTATAGCATTAGCACATATTTATGCAACACGGTGAACACAACTTCCTATCTTACTATAGGACTGATATCCATCACATTTTTCTGAACTGAAATGCCACCAATATTAAGAAGCCTTGCTCTGTATACGCAAAATTCATATACTCGGCATACTGACACAATTCGTCCAATCATCTCCCAATGAATGACACGTTTTCAAATAGAATAAAGACGTAACAATACACCATCATAAAAAATATACATATCTTGATGGAAAATACTGATAGCTCATGTCCTCAGAAACTGCATTCAGACCATTACAATAAATATTACATGATACTATCAACATTAACAAAAATTGGTAACATACACAATCCATATGCTCTGCCACTGAGGCAGCAAGTGGAACAGAAATTCATGCAATTATAACAGTAGTCAACTATTGAACTCTCCCTGCCTTAACACAAATCAATTCTGTACATAAATATGCGGGACATTCTTTTCGTAACTTCATAACTGACAAATTGACAGCGATTTTGAGAATGTCTCATTATGTCATTTGGCGACGAACATATTTCTGTCTACAGGCATGTTGAAACATTTTCCAACCAGCAGTAACAAAACTACAATCCACATATAAGTACATATCACTTTACAAGACCTATAAAACAATGATAGCCAGCTGCACATACATCAAAACAAGCAATACAATCTCAAGTACAAGTTTTGGCATTACACTCAACATATTGTAACATCGAAGCATACAACCCCTCCTTCACCACAGTACTAATCACCATAAGCTGCCCTTATCAGTATCCACACAACAATATAATTGGTGCCAAGACATATTTTTTAACATGTCAGGTCTATATCCAATCTGTTCTCCTAAAATGTGACCACTTCTAGTACATTACACTGACCTTGACTCTAGCAAAAGAAATGATCACTATGTTACTCCTATGGATGGTAAGGTATAGTGCAGAGTGAACTTCATATAAACCAATAAGCTAAATTCATAAAGCTTATGGCAGTAAGTATACACACCTTGATCCTTTCTGTTCTATGGACGTACATGTATGTTCCTTGACATGTTAGCTCAGGTTAGTTTTGTTAGTTTCCGTTAGAAGTTAGAGTATGTGTACATTCTGTTATAAGTTAGCTAGGTTAAGTTACAGGTGTACATGTACATCCTTTAAGCCGTATTTTGTCTCAAGCTGTCCGAAAACTTGGCCCACACAGGGTTAATGGTATATACTTTTGCCCTCAATACTGACATATTGCACTAGGCTGAAAACGGTTTCTTCCTTTGCCCTCTAAATGCCCCCCCCCCCTCGACTCCTGTACCAATTTTTCTTTTGGACAAAATAAATCTAAATTTCTTACATATAATTCAAACACAGGTCATTCATTTAGACCAATTCACACTTCAAGCATCATATTAATGATACCTAAATGGATATTAATCTATATTTATCAGACATACATTTCTAAGGCTAGTTGTAAGACCGGTAACTTGTGGCGGAGAACGATGTGGTAGTTTACCCATTGCACTGTCTGTAGCGCTGGCAGATGAACCTCTTACACAACTGCTGCACTTCTTCCAGTGCTGGAAATCCTCATCCAGACTTCCCATGACATATGACTGTCAACAGGGAGGCATGTTTCTGTGATTGGTGATGGTTACAATGGCATACAGATGCAGGTCTACATACAGTGAATCTCCTTTTCAAGGTCTCTTTGCCAAGAAGTGAATTCTTGCATGCATGTAATTTAACAATGAGGTTACTGACATGTCACCAAACCCGAATGTTACCTGAGGTTAATCTCGCATCAAAGAGCACTGATGAGGTTTTCACTGTATTTCAGTTCCCTGCACATTGTTCCCTCTCAGGTCTTGGATCATCTCTTTATAAGCCTGCTGAAAACAGTCATCTTCCCCCTTAAGTTTCTATTAACTCTGCAAGATCTTGCTGTGCATATGTCCAATGAACATGGAAGACCACCAATCACTTCAGCTCCTCATGGATGTGGAGAGAGAGAGCTCGTTTTCAAACAAGACGTCACTGCACCATCTCGCCACAGTCTACAACAAACAGTAAAATTACTTGGTAAAAGCTAATATATGTTAATATTATACAGTTTCACTATTATATTTAAGATATTATCAATCTCCACACAGCATAATACTCATTTGCACAGTTACTCACATAGGTCAGGAGCTGGGTTTCAAACCCTGACATTTTTAAATGTTTCAATGAATATGCTGTTATAAATTTACCACCCGATAATCCATCAGCATCATTACATTCCTTCCAGACCCAAAGGAATGACACACACCAGCCCTGTGAACACACAAAGAAACAATTCAATAAAGGCCACCAATTTTATCTTCATTTGGACCCACAATACTGACACATACATTAGAATTCTGAATGCACATGGCAAAACATTACCATCCCATTAAAATCTTTCATCGCCCAGCAAAATATGTTTCATACAACACTACAGAAAAGACATGACTAATACTAACCAAATTATTAACCACAAATTATGGATAATGAACGGCCTGAACTTTAACTTGCACCTGTTCCATTTGCTAGCGCCACCGTGTGATCATGCAACGCAAAGTCCATAAAGTGAACTGCCCCTTCCAAAAGTTGCACACATCTCACTGCTTCACTCCGTCTTCGGTTTATGACCCTTCCCGCAAATCTGTCACTCTAAATGCAATTGCTTCAGTTTCTACACATGCAAAAACAAGCCTCCTTATTGCACACTCTTCAGGGTGAAATCTTTCACCATGTTAGATTCACAATTTCTACACTAAGAACACATACATTTTATCACTTTGTATGTCACTAGTAGCACAAACTCTCACATCTATTCCCAGACAATTTGCAAGCTCACAGTGAAGTCTTTTGGGTTGTGACACTGTCTACTCATGTAGGTAGGTATGTAGCTTTTGGAGGAACATGGTTATCTCCACAGGTGTGGTACAATTCTGAGCATTTGTCTGCATGCATGAATTGCTTTCTGCTGCAAGACTTGCACAAAGCCATCATCTCTTTCCATAGTTTCTACCCTTTACACATCACACTGGCCACTGCCCTATTTCCTTCATTTCACTGAACTGAAGCTCACCATTTAACCTTTCTTCACGTGGGCCACTGGACAATCTGCCTTGCTCATGTTGCCTGTTAAGAATAAGAGGTCACACCAATCATAATGACTACTTACAATTACTTCTTCTATGTAAACTACATACATCATTGTACTCCAATGTGCATTACCTGATTCAACATCTCTGAATTTATACTTCCAACAGTGTGTTAACATGACTGGAAGGAATGAAGGCTCATCAACAATCAACAATTGCCTGTAAGAATAAGAGGTTACATCAATCATAATGACAACTTACAATGACTTGTTCTACATACAATATTGTACCTTACCTCATGAGATATCTCCAAATTCATGCTCCCAACATTGTGTTAACCTGTCTGGAAGAAATGAGAGCTCATCAACACTGATGTTCCCTGTAAGAATAAAAGGTCACAGCAATCATAATGACAGCTTACAATGACTTGTTCTACATACAACACTGTACACTACCTGATGTGAAATCTCCGAATTCATGCTTCCAACAATGTGTTAACCTGACTGGGAGATATGAAAGCTCATCAACACTGATGTTCCCTGTGAGAATAACAGGTCACACCAATCATGACAACTTACAATTACTTGTTCTACATGCAACAGTGTACACTATCTGGTGCAAAATCTCCAAATTCATGCCTCCAACATTGTGTTAATCTGACTGGGAGAAATGAAGTGTCATCAACAGTGATCCTGCCTGTAAGAATAAGAGGTCACATCAATTATAATGTCAGCTCACAAAGTGTTGTTCTACACACAATGTTGTACATTACCTGACATGAAATCACTGGATTTTTTTTTCCGAGGATTGTATTACCCTGAGTAGGAGAATTGTAGGTTCACAAACACTGATGTTGCCTCTAAAAGAAAAAGATCATACCAACATTAATAACTCCTTATAAAGGACATCTGAAATTTCTAATTTCTTGGTTTCAACATATGAATATACTGACTAGCTGCAATTCAGTTATGAACTAATCTTTTCATGCAAATAAGTTGTACATACATTCCTGAAAGCTTATAGTGATTTTTTTAACTGACCACACTGTACACTACCTGAATCAAAAATTTCTGAATGTTTTTTTTTTAATATATATTTTATCCTGTGTAGCAGCAATGAAGACTTATTAACACAGTTGCTCCCTGTAAAATAAGAAGTGGTATCAGCTTTATGACAGCTCATAAGGAAGGATGCCTTATTTGACCTCACTGTACACTACCTGATGTTAAAACTCCGATTTCAGGTTTCCAAAATACTATTAAACTGAGTGGCATCAGTTAAGTCTCACAAACACCATTGTCACCTGCAAATAATGAGTGATAAGAACATTAATGACAATTCATAAAGATGACTTATTCAGCTCACCACAATCCACAGTACGTGATGTGAAATCTGTGACTTAGTTTCCATCATTGCATTAACCTGAAAAGCAGCAATTAAGACTCAATGTTCCCTGTAAAATAAGACATGTTATCATCATTAATAACAGCTCATAAAGATGAATTCCTTCAGCTGACAATCATGTACAGTACCTGATGTGGCATGTCTGAAATCATGTTTCCAATTGGGTTTTAACCAGATTTGTTGCAACGTTTGCTCATTAACACTGTTCTTGCCTGAAAGAATAAGAGGTCATACCAACATTAATCCTAGCTTAAAAAGGACTTGTTCAACTTACCACATTGTACACTACCTGAAGTGACATCTGTGAAATCACGTTTCAATCGTAGGACTAATCTGACCAGAAGCAATCAAAGCTCATCAACACAGTTTTCCATCCATTGGTACCGACATTAATGAGAGCCCACAGAAAAGGATGTCTTCAGTGCATCCCAATTTACACTACATAATCTGAGGTCTCTGAATTTCTGCTTTATCATAGTCTTCGCCTGACTGGGAGCAATGACAGCTCATCAACATGGATCTTTGTTGTGGCATAAGAGGTAGTAAGAATGTAAAGCTGTCCCCTGTGCTTAAATAAACACTATGCTATGAAGGAGTGGATATATGGATCCACAATGCAGTCGGTATAGTGACTGGCTATAGGCTGGATGACCGAGTGGTTGGGAGTTTGAGTCCTGATAAGGTCAAGAATTTTCTCCTCTCCATGTCATCCAGACCGGCTCTGGGGCCCACCCAACCTCCTATTCAATGGACACCGGGTGGTCTTTCCCCCGTGGTAAAGTGGCGCAGGCATGAAACTGAGCACTCATCTTCAGCTGGTGATGAGGCCAAGGAAATATGGATCTAGAATAAGAGGCAGTACTATCATTAATGACAGCTCACAAAGAATGCTTAGTTCCAAGTGACCAATTTGTACACTACCTGATAAGAAACTTCAGAATACATGTTTCCAACATATCGTCATGATTTAGGGGTGTGAGTATAGATGGGGTATGGATTGGATGAATTGGATTATTTGACCACTTCTATACACCACTCGGAACTACAATTTGCATTTCACTGACACACACAAAGACTACTGTCCTCAGTCTATTACAATAGCCACTAGCCGTTTCCTGGCAACAGATTTAACACAAAGGAGATTTTCCGTTTCTGTGGCCCGCTGTTTAACACTCCACACCTGAACTCATAGCACCATCATCTCACTCTCACTTGCAGAGCCCAACTCTCCACTAGTTGCTCACTTGGAACTTCAGAACTCAACTAACTCTTCTTAACTAACTACTTGGCACGGACCGAATGCCAAACGCCTTTTTCAACAATACCCCTACTGTGCGCGTGTTTACAGATTCGGTGCTTGGAAATGGATTTCATAACACCGTTTTCCTATTGTTGCGTGCAGGTTATGTTGCGGGCGTTACCTAACATTACCTTTGATTTCTATCAATTTCGGTAGTGCACGTGTTTTCACAAAAATATTAAAAACGAAATTTCGCAATTACATTTGGTAAAGGTTTTTAATATAACGGAAACAGGGCCAGATTTTCTTTTTTATTTCCGATCTTTCAGTGCAAAATTGTCAGCATCAAAGAATACTAAGATTCATGCCTACTTATTTAACTTTGCTTTGGAATTGGCCATTACGAAGTTCAAGGAAATATAAGAGAAGATTCAATTCGAATGGGGCACAAGTGTGTCTGGTCTACGCTGATGATGTTAATCTACTAGACGAACAGATATCTTTATAGAAGACCAAGAACCGTATTAGACGCTAGCAAGAATGTTTTTATGTAAGAAAATAAAAAAGAAACTAAGTATATGCTTATACTATATTATACTATACTGTATGTATGTTGAGAGAAAAATCATATCTGATAATTAATCCTGTGATATTTTTGAGTTTGCTATTTAACGACGCTGTCAGTATGGACAGTATACAGCGTTGATAACAGGATGATTAATGAACATGGAACAGTTGGTGATATGAGAATTAGCATTGGAATCCGAAGTTCTCTTGAGAAAACACGCTCCGCTCTCACTTCTCCACCATGAATCCACACGATCTGACCTGCGATCGGGAAGATGAGGCGAAGTTCAAATATTTGTGGAAGACACTAACAAAACCAAACTGTATTAATGACAACGTCAAGGTAAGGTAAAAATGTAACAGCTGTCCCTGTGCTCAGCAACTTCAAGCACTACGCCATGAAGGTGTATGGGGGAGTGGATGTATAGATCCACATTTTCTTGATCTCAGCACTAGCTAGAGGTTGAGTGGTCAGCTTCAAGCCCTGGCCGCTTCACCCCCGGTAAAGACAACGTTAAGGTAAGGTAAAAAAGTAAAGTTGTCCCTGTGCTCAGCAACTTCAAGCACTACGCCATGAAGGCGTACGTGGAACTGGATGTATAGATCCACATTTTCTTGACCTCGGCACTAGCTGGAGGTAAGTGGTCAGCTTCATGCCCCGGCCGCTTTAACCCCGAAGAAAACGCTCCCGGTACCTATTGGATAGGAGGTTGGGTGGACACCAGGTCCGGTCTGGGCGATTTAAAGAGAAGAGAAAATTCCTGACCCTACCGGGTCTCGAACTCCGACCCCTCGGTCGTCCAGCCCGTAGTCACTCCCTATACCGACTATGCTACCCCGCGGGAAATATCTGTTACCATTTACTTCTGAACGTTTCATTTCCTTCATTGCTACTTAAGGTGTAAAACATAAAGAACTGCAATTCTGTGTGTAGCCCAATAAGAATGTGAAGCCTGGGCTTTCACATTATGGGAAGAGCATAAATGAGGGCATTTGAGAACAGCGGCTAAGGCGAATATGTGGACCAACTCCGACCCCTCGGTCGTCCAGCCCGCAGCCAGTCGCTATCCCGGCTCTGTAGTAGCTAGTAGTGCATCCAAAATTTCGATAGGAAAAACAAAGGAAAGAACCACTAGGAAGACTTGAGTTTATATGCAATGATAATATTAAAATGTATATTGAGTAAATGAGATGAAAAGTTACGGATATGATACACCTGGCTCCAGATTTGGACCACTGGAAGGGGTAATGAACCGTGTGGTTCTTAAATATGCTACAGTTTGTGTACCTGAGCTCAACTATTGGCCTATCAGGGAAGATTCAGCTCCACGGCTTCAATTCATGGGCCAGTTTCTGTCAATTCGAAACTGAGTGCTGGATATCTTTAGACATTCACCCCAGACATTTCTTCTACAGGTCTATTACACAATGCCGCTGTTAATGATAAAACGTTTCCATATAACACTTCAAACAAGGGACATTTCTAAAGTCCTTGGTTCGAAATATGCGGTGCCATACATGAAAGCAAGTCTCATAAATCCACGATTCCCAGAGTTACACTTGCACACTGCAACAATCTGGAAGAAAACCTGTATTAGCAGATGAGCCGTAACTGAACAAAACGAAAGCTTACATCTGCGTTGGGCCCGTGTGGGCAGACATATGCCATAATTATGTAGAACACATCCTCTAAACCAGGCATGTCCAACGCGTCGACTGCGATCGACCGGTCGATCGCGGGACGATTTTTGATCGATCTCATGGGTGTATAAGAAAATTATACGTGAAAAGCGTGTAAATTTACTTGTAATATAATATGATTACATTCAGATTTTGAAGGGAAAATACGTGTTAAAGTAGTCTGTACTTTCAATGTATGTTGCTTTTACAACAAACATCATGTGTCGTGTTATTTTTACCAGTATTTTTAGTTAAAGCAAGGTACGGCGATAGGAGGGGGTGGTAGATCACTCGCAAGTTTGACGATAAAAAGTCGATCACAACCTGTTTGAAGTTGGACGTGCCTACTCTAAACTATCTTTAAGTAATTTTCTTATAAATATTTGTTCAATGCTTCCATTATCCTTATTTTATGTATTATATAGGATAATCCAGTGGGAGAAAAGAGGAATGCATGTAAGATATTGGTGGGAAAGCCAGAAGGAAATAGACCACAGGGAAGACCAAGGCGTAGGTGGGTGGACAATATTAAAATGGATGTTAGAGAGATGGGATGGGATGGATTGGATTGATCTGGCTCAGGATGGGGACCAGTGGAGGGCTCTTGTGAACACGGCTTTGAACCTTCGGGTTTCATAAAATGCTGAGAAATTCTTGAGTAGCTGCACATTTGGCTTCTCAAGAAGGGCTCAGCTCCATAAGCAAGTAATAGGATAATCCAAATTACTGGTGTAGTCTAACACAATGCAATTGGTTTTTAATTCAATGTCCGAGCGAATAAAATCTCGTTTGCACAATTTCTAATAGTTCCTTTTTTTATACAGAAATATTAAACTTCCTCCATGTGAATAATATTCATCAAATGAGAGGTTTACTAGTGTGGCCATGAGGTTGTTCGGAAGGAAGTCATAAAAGCAAAACGAATCTGTAGGATTCTAACAGGTCCTGCCATGTTGAGTCGCATGAATACGAAGACGTGGCATATAGACAGATGTCTCTGTGCGAAGTGAAACTGGGCAACTGCTTTATACTGTATTTCCAAATTCCCTTCTTATGAAAAGAATTAACGTCGTAAATGATCATTATATCTTACAGTTATTTAAACATTGAGCCCGGAGGGTTTGGGGGAGTGAGAAACCAGAGCTTGGAAAAAGAAAAGGAAATATATCGAACATTATTAGCGAAAAGAGTGATCCCGTAATGATATTCTTAAATGGCTTCAACTCTGTAAGCAAATTCTCTGACTGCACATGTTCACATATCTGAACATCAGTCCGCTTATTCTAGAAACCAAAATGGCTACAAGATAAAAAGAATTTACAATATCTTCCCAATTTGGTTTTCGATATAAGTAGTAGGTATATATGAGATACCACAAATTAAGTTTCATTGCGTAATGAAACTAAAAGAACCATCGTAACGCCATTTCGTAGGAAATGGCAGACACGTTAATGTAGAAGACAAGAGGCCTCCAACCCTAATACATCTCCATTTGTCACAAACGGGACAACTTACCTTGACCAACCCGTTGCCGCAGACAGAGTGACGTCCAACCCTAAGAACTAAACATGTCGCAACACGTGATCCACAGAGTCTACAGAGCAGAGTTGGCCAGAGAGGGGCGGGGTTCGAAACCGCAGGAACAAGAAATGAGCAGAAAAATTTGACGTCATATTCAACCTTCCTTCCTGTCATCTATGAAGGACAATTACGTTAGGTTCGCCAAATAGTACCGAACTATGTACGGCAGATGTCGAAAGCGCAGTTGGTAACTTTGTAACCTCCTATTACGGCCACATCAATCTTGAAGATCTTGAAAGTGTTAATATTATGGGCATCGTGTGGCCTCGTAGCTGTGCATGTGCATTTCGGAGGGGCACATTCCCACCATATACAGGATAAAAACGGAGGAATGTGTTTATACAAAACAATACACGTCTACCAGACTCTACTGTGCCATTCCCTAGGCCACAATCTGGTTCTTCATTACCACGAAAACCTAAAAACTGTAGTAACATTTGACTGATGATAATTTATGGTTGATGAAACTAGATTATAGGTATACATTCTTTGTAAATATAATGTTGTATTCTATGTCATACTGCTTATTCTCTACTTCAGCCTTGCAGTCCATAACAAGAAATTCTAGATATCTGTAGTGCTGCCAGTATGGGCACCCTGCGTGGTCCATCGACTATCCCGACAAAGGTTATTGGTGGTTTTCCTCAACCCCTCAAAGCTAATGCCAAGATAGTACGTCTCTCAGGCCACAATTGCTTCCTTCCAGATCCTTTCCAATTCATCAATCATCCTACCAATCTCTACTATGCAATCCAGATGCTGACAGAACCGTAAAATTAACCACAAAAAAAATGTTGGAGAATTCCCCCCCCAAAAAAGGCCCTTTGCGTGTCTTTTTGGACAGGCATGCCGAAGGGAATCGTGATGAAATATTTCAAGAGATCCCAGTACAAAATCAATGTATTGTACACGTAACCTTGAAGATATTAAAATTTCACTTCGTTATGTCATGTGGTATTCTAACCACACTGGGCAAGATAAACGGATTACTGTTTATCAGACTTTACGAAATTACAACATGATCCATAAATCATTAGCGACACAACATACTTTTTCCGTAAATCTGCTACCACCACAGAAATACGCCATCTCGCTTTATAACAAATGCGCGGTGAGCTAAAGGCAGGACTGGACTGAAACGTCGCGAATTCCCAGTATTACTTCATTGAACCGAAGTAATTTTATGTGCTCTTCAGGTAAACTGTCCTGAATAACCTCTCCAGCTGGTACACCAGGTATACCATCCTTAAATAAGTTGCTAATCAACCAATCTACAAAATATGGGCAAAGAGCTTGATAAAATGTTCACGAGTTAAAGCATAACGTAAGTGAATATCAGGGAATAGTTCTTCTCTTGTGTCGTCATGAAAGACGCCATGTCCTTCTACTGTGTCTCTGGCATAGCATTTCCTTGCCTTTATCATTTCATATCTCAGCATAGCTGAATACCAGTTGCTACACATGACCTGTCGTTTTATTTATAACTTGTTTTTCAGAAACTACGGTGATTCACAGGCACGCGTGGATGGCGTGATGTAGTCACGTGATATCTGCAATAACAACTCTCGTAACAGCCCACAGTCATATGCCACGCGTTGGAAGCCACTTAATAGCCTTTTAAACTCGAAGGTGTTAGCGAATTAAATCAGTTATATCCGACAGTCGTTCTTGGCTTCGGTCCCCGTCTTGTCGCATGTTTATATTTCTGTTCTGTTCTGTTCAGACTTTACGTGTTTTGAAATGGTGACTTCTCTTCGTCGAGGGGTGGGGTTTAACTACTACTGGTCACTCTGCTCCCCGATACCAGTTTGGTTTGTCGGCCGATCCCTAAACATGGCCCTAAAGAAACCAGCAAGCAGTGGGTGCTCCTGGTAACGCTTGTAAGTGGGAACATTGTAACCTGCTTCTTGTACCAATACTGAAACACTTTCTTAACAACCTTCACACATTTTATGATGGTGTTTTGGTACAAGTGGTTCATCAAATTCTGTGGTCTCATGGGGCCAAGATACGAGGTCCGGCCTATAGTATCCTCTGGAATATATCGAAGGTTGCTCACGTTTCGAAGGAACGTGCTGCAACCATCTACATGGCCATGAAAACATGCAAATAGAACGAGCGCCATCAGAATGCCAAATCTAACATTATGTACAGTATCTGACTTGGTCTCTCATGCTAAGGAAGAAGGCCTGTTTGAGGATGTCTGAGAAGAGGGTGCTAAGGTAAATATCTGGGCAAAATAAGGGCATGTTAGGCAAGGGTGAAATTCCAAGAAGTAACAGTGGCCACAGCCGAAAGACACGCAGCTTCTGCTTTGACAGAATAGGCTGTCTGCTATGTTTTTTTCTCTTTTTTTTCTGTGGCGCTACAGCTCCAATTTGGGCCTAGGCCTACCTCCATGAAACTCTCCGTTTCACTTCGGCTTACTAGATCTTACATATGCGGTAGGACTCCTTGGGCGAGTGATCAGCTCGTCGCAAGGCCTCTACCTGTAGACAAACACAGAAAAACGCACACAAACATCCATGCCCTGGGTGGGATTCGAACCCACGATCCCGGCTTCCGAGCGAGCGAAGACAGTGCACGCCTTAGACCGTTCGGCTACCGTGACCGGCGTCTGCTATGTTACCATTCAGAATTAATTGTGAAATATGAATCTCATATAGAGTTGCTAGGACTCCTTAGAGTGGGGATCAGCCCTGTAGCAACGCTGCTAACTACACAGAACAAGACAAACACGGAATAAACACAGACACACATCCCTGCCTCGAGTGGCATTGCAACCCACGATCCCAGTGTTTGAGCGGGCGAAGACAGCTCATGCGTGAGACCGCGCAGCCACTGTGATCGGCCTCACCCACTATTTGTTGTTCATTTAATGACGCTGCCAGTATCTCAAACTATACAACGTAGAATGTTAGGATGAGTGACTGATGGAAGGAATGTGGAAGGAAGCAGTTGTGGCCAGAATTCGTTCGGAGAGACTGCGCCTCGAACTGGTAAACACGCCATGACGACATATGGAGGACTGAAGGTACAGCTCCACGGATTCTTGACAACTGCACTAGATGGAGGTCAGTGGTCAGCAACACACCCCGGGGATAGATCGCCCGGTGCTCACTGAATACGGTTGTTGGGCCCCTGAGCCGGTCTGACGCCGTGGAGAAGTTTCTTTTTCTTCGAACCTCGATTCCTTGCTCATCCATCCAGTAGTCCGTCGCAATACCGACTCAAAATAGACAGGTCGAAAATTAAACAAGCTACGAGTCCAGGCATTGAAAGGCGCTGGGACGTCTCTCCCGCTCCACAACCGGTTGGAGAAAACTGCATCACGAAGAAATTCAGAATTTGTATCAAAATATTATTCAGATGATCAGATCTAGGATTACTAGACGAGGACACTAGGCATGCAAAGGAGACCAGAAATGTATACAAAATTTGTATCGGAAAATCTGAAATGAAGCGACACCTTGGAAGACCTAGGCGTAAATGTCAGGATAATATTTAAACGAATCTCAGAATGACTGAGTGGGAGGGTTTGGTCTGAATTAATCTGGCAGAAGGTAGGGTAGAGTGACGGAAACGAAAGTGGGGTCCATAAAGGGGGGGGGCGATTCTTTAATAGCTTAGCAGCTATTAGCTTCTCAATAAGCGTTCTGGTGTTTTGTTAACATAGCCCAGTTGAATAACTTGAAACACTGATACAGCTTCGATACATAACCTACGAACCAAAAAAATAAATACCTAAAATATTGAAGTCCCTTTGCTTAATTAAGCATTATGCCATCAAGACATACGGTGGAGTGTAGGTATAGCTCCACGAGTCTTGACCTCGGAACTTCGTGGAGTGCTCAACTTCACGTCCCGGCCCCTTTACCCCCCGGAAGAGCCCCAGTGTGACTGGTTAGGAGGCTGGGTGCGCCCCTGAGACCCCTGAGGCGGTCTGGACGGTGTGGGGAAGAGAAGAATCTTGCCATGCTGGGATTCGAACGCGGGTCGTCCAGCCAGTAGCCGATCGCTACGCTGGCTTCTAAACAAACACCTGCACTCTTAAACTGCCCATGCGTATCAGCGAATTTGTCAATGAAATAAGACATAAATATTACAGAAATATGTAATCGACCTTCATGCATGAAGATCGTTTTTCATAACAAGCGTCGCGTAATTAAAGAACACTTAACTACTACTAACTGCAAAAGGTTACAAGAAGGTTGCAGTGTTGCCACCAACACAGACTTACAGCTTCATACGAGGAGTGGAATCAGGAGGCTTAAATGCACTTTGCCAATCCATCCGCTCGTAACCTTGGCAACAGGCAGAACAGAATACCGAGGCTGTTTAAGAAACTGACAGACGAAATGTGACTAATGTTGATCGAGCTTATATTACGCAGCAGTGAGCTAGGATGCCTAATGTGGCCAGCCTGTTGACGTTCCCCCAGGTGTACTGCATAATATGATGCAATGTCAGGCAGATGGTGTTCTCAGCATGCGGTCCACGTACCATCTCAGAAGACATTCCCTCTCTTCATTTATGAACTGCGTCAAGTTGTAGAGGGTGGAATAAAATGATGAACTGGAAGGAATTTGAAAGGAAGCAATAGTAGCCGGTGATAAGATATTTTTTAAATATATGGCTAGACAGAACGAGGAGGCCTGGGAGTGTCTCAGGACCTGGTTACCGGCCAACATTCAAACTAGAGAGTTCGCAAAACAGACTGTACGCCCAATACATAAACAGACATAAAATAAAGTACGTGATGTGGGGTACGAGGTTTTCACGGCCGTGTACCTTGTAGATTCCGGGGTTATGATACCGTCCAGTTTCATTAACGCCAACGGGATTTTTCCAAAGAGCGGGGAACCAATTTTTCACAGGGGGAACAGCCTGATAGTTTACTTGCAAAAATTACATAGACGCATATTAAAAATAATTTTAATGATAGTCCGAGAGTACTCAGGACAGAACAAATTTTATAGAGCAAATTTTGTTAATATTCCTCTTAAGTATATTTACTGCGTCTTACAATTCATGGGGTGCAGACGCCTGGTACCCCCCCTCCCGTTGATGGTGTTTGCTGCAGATCCCTCTGCAATGCTAGTAGTTGTCTGTCGTACTCAAAGGTTTCTTAAATGTTTAGATTATAAACGTTCCGTGTAGGACTATCGCCTGAACATACCGAAACGTAGATACTATAGGGTTCTGACGATGGTGTATAATACACAGAGAAACTGGGTTTTCGGACTTTGTCCATCGATCGGATTCTAAATAACAAAGAAAAAATACAACGTTTCGGAAACTGGATCTGTTTCCGTCCTCAGGTGAGGGAAGACACCTACTTTGTTGGGTCCCTTAGAAACAGCTAACCTGAAATGCCTTCAAACGTCAAAGCTTGGCAACAGTTCGAAATGTGTACAGGCCCTGTACTTGGTGCTGCGCGTGAGAAAATTTGACAAGAAGCAAGGCAGTGGTTGCGACTACACTGTGGTTGGCGAGGGAGGGTAACGATCCATACACACGTTACAATCTCAGCTTTTGGGCTCGGCCAAATGCACTGCGCATTCTATTGAGAACGAACAGATCTAAACACGAGAATCAACGAATCTGTAAAGTACATGGGAAAGCTGTCAGTGGGCTTAGGCACCATGCCATGGAGACATGCGGAGGTATAGTTCCACGCATTCTTGATCTTGAAAGTGGATGGAAATGAGCGGAGTGCGTACAATGTTGGCCACTTCACTTACCCCCGCGGAAAGAGCCCTCAGTTTTACTGGTTAGGACGCTGCGTGGGCCCCAGAAGGGGGTCTGGCCACTGTAGGAAAGACAACAATTTCTAATGCTAACATGGGTAACCTCACATTTGGATCACTACTATAAGAATTCTTTCTTTAGCTTTCGAAACGTCGATACAGCGGTGTTAAATAATATGCGAAAATAAATAAAGATATACTCGTTCAAAACTGGCCGGGCTTGTCAAGCAAGCAGAGAACCAACCCGTAAAGATTCCCATTATATTTCATCAGATTTTCTTTATTACGCATTAATATTTAGTTTTTGCACGCCAAAATTACTGCGTCATGATGGCACCACTGTATCTCGTCATGTGATGTACCCTACTTCCTATGTGGTATGGTACAGAGTCGCCAACCACATAGACTTATAGCCTTTTGCGAGCAATGACAAGTGCGTTAAAAGGCCCACATGCACTTTGTGACTCCGTCTGCATGTATCCTTGGCAACCGGCAGAACAAAATAGAGAGACCGTCTCTGAAATTAACAGACAAAATGCAACAAATTTTCACCAAGCTTATATTACGCAGTTGTGAGCTGGGATGCTTAAGATGGCCAACCTGCTGACGTTCCCACAAACATACAGCACACTGTGATGCAATGTCAAACAGATGAAGTTCTCAGCATGTGGTCCACGTATCGTTTCAGAAGTCATGCCCTCTCTTGATTTATTTAACGATGCCTTAAAAAGGATGAAATGGAAGGGACGTGGGGATGAACCATTGATGCCGGCATGGATGGTGACAAACCAGACATCTCCAGCCCTCTATATTAAAAAATCACAATTTTAAAAGAAGGAAAAACATCAAATTTCAATACCAAAAAATAAACGCGTTTTTAACTATTCTGTCTTCAACAGTGCAGGGTGATTAGGGAAAACAGTCTTACGTTGCTTAAACCTCAGTTTGTGAACATATTTTCTAACTTCCCCTTCGGAAAACTGGCTGCCTTTGTCTCCTTCGAAAGAATCCTGGCGTTTCCAATGGACGGAACTGATGATGGTTGTTTAAGGCTATGTAAGGGCTCCATTCTCGATGAGGTCAATAGATTTTTCATTTTACCTAGTTCCTCTAGCCGCATCATGTCCCTAGTTTCGACTCAGCCACTAACAGAAATGAATAAATACTTTGAAATAATTTTACGCAGCGATTTAAGTTGGGCTCATCAAGTTAATTACACGGTGAAAAAAGCTCGGAAGGCACTTCATTTTACAATGCGTATTCCTAAGAAGGGAAATCGTAACACTAAAAGTTTATCCTGCACATCACGACTGCGTCCGATTCTTGAATATGGGGCGGCGTTCTGGGATCCTTACAAGAAGGGACAGATAAATGGGCTGCACCGGGTGCAAAACATGGCGGCAAAATTTGCACATATAGAAATGATTCGAACTGGGAAACCTATTTGCAGTTAAAATAAATAATAAATATGTATTAGTTTCCAAAGTATCTTGCTCCAGGAATTTACGTTAAAATTTCCAAATAAATATTCTGTCTCGCTTCACGTGTGGGGTAATATTGAACAGCTGAATTTCATTCAATATGTTACGTCACAAAGCCCTGACTACAAATCTATATCAGCATTATTTTCATTACTGTTGGCGATACTGATAAGTCACTCTTCCCACTGTGAAGAGGGGATTCCCCTCCCTATAAGTCTGCGTGCACGCCATGGTATATATACGTATGCAACGCCAGCATCGCGCAAATCGTGAGAGTTGTGGAAGAGTTCGGAAGAGTTTGGAAGAGGTGAACGCAGCTGCCTACACGTTTTTAACGGTGAGTGTGCAAAACTGATATGTGTTCATATGAAATGAGTGTTTGGGATTAATGAGTTACTGTTTATCAAACGCAACGTAGCAAAGTCAGTCTTGATAAGCCGCTAGTCGCTCAGCTGCTGTAAAATTTCCCAACTTTTATGGGACCAGAGGGTACATTACCGTGTTCACAAAATGAGTATTTCGGTTTAATGAGTTACTGGTTATCAAACGCCACGTAGCAGAGTCAGTCTTGATAAGCCGCTAGTCGCCCAGCTGCCGTAAAATTCCCCAACATTTTACGGAACCAGAGGGTTCATAACCGTGTTCACAAAGGCCACCAACTGGTCCCTATCATGAGCCATGTGAACACAGTCTCTAAAACTCTATCCTAATTCTCTTTGAACATCCAATTTAATATCGGGGCCACGCGGTACAAGCTGGAAGGTTACAGGTTCGATTCCCAAGGAGATCAGTATATTTTGAAATTGACCTAAACCTTCCAGCCGTACAATGACCCTAGTGTTGATTAGGCCACTAACGGAAAAGAGTACCAGGAATCTTATGGGGTTAAAGAGCGGCCGGAGCGTAAGACTGATAACTTCGCCATCAATGAGCCGATTGCCAAGAAAATTTGGGAGTCTTGACGTCTCGCAACCCAATGAGCCTCCCCAGCCTTTGTCTAGGAAATGTGGGAGTCTTGACGTCTCGCAACCCCATGAGCCTCCCCTGCCGGCTACAGGGACAGCTAAACCTCGTTATTATTTTGTACATTTCTATTTCCCCATACGTTAAGATGTTACTAGCGGTTCCTTTGACTTTCTCTCAAAAACTATATTTATTATTCCTCATGCGTGCTACACGCCATGCTCATTTCATGCTAGACTTCATAATTCTGATTAGGTTTGGTGAAGAGCACAAGGAGTTTCGGGATATCCATGAGGAAAGAAAACAAAGTTCCCGAAATCAGAAACTGATTTACGGTGCTTAGGTTTCACCCGACGGAAGACCAAGTCAGCTGGGTCCATTAGATTTATCGGATCTAACTCTGTGTCTGCCCACATTTCCGAAACATGTTTTAAGTACATTTAACAGGAAGCGTAATCCCATATGTAAGACTGTTGTGTCCCAGGTTATTAATGGCTCGATTTTGTGTTTAATTTATTAGAAAATAGTTGTAAGTTTTATAAATTTAAATACTTTAGGGCGGGTACTCATTACAACGCTGCAACTTGCAACGCAACGGTTGCCGCAACCACGTATGTGTACGTTCACCGAACCTAAACTTGAACACTAGTTGCTCCGTAGAGTTCGTAGTGAAGACATGAATTATGAAATGTCTCTCCACACGTCAAGGAACACACTGCGCGCCGCTTTGTGTTCGCCAGAATACAGACAGCCTCACTGCCAACTGTTGCAGCAACGAAGCTCAAGACGTACTCATTAGAAAAATGCGGTTGCAGCAACCGTTGCGTTGCATGTTGCAGCGAGTACCCGCCCTTAGGTGAACCACAGGTTGGACAGCCGGAAACCAGGGCTGAGATCACCTTTAGACGTAGCACATCCCTTAGCCGTCCGGTTCCAGTTGTGTAGTTTACAGAAATTGCTGAGCAATCGGAAGAACGTCACAGAAGCAAGTCTCGATTGGCAGGATATCGGCCAGGAGGAATCTGCCGATTTTAGGATTTGAATACTCGGAATTTTTATGTTGTTGAATTTTGAGGGGCTAGAACGTGAGAAGCCGCGAACACTCGGATTTTAGGAGTCTCTGAGAACAGTCGTGTGGTAGGAAGGAACAGCGACGGACTCAGATATCTTCCTCTTTTGTAAGCGTGAGTACTTGCCTGTGTTCGGATCACTGATGGTTGTCAATATATAATTCTGGTTCAATGATTTTAGTTTGGTAACTGATTTTCAGGATAAAATTGCTCAAAAGAATTTAGTGTATAAACTTTGGCCCATGGATTGTTAATTTTTTATTTATTGAGTGATTATATGAGTAAGATGCAAGAATTTCGTTAAGTAATTAAGCTTAGAAAGTAACATTTGATTCACTGGTTGCTTGTTGAAAATACCAATTTTGACTCGTTGAGTAAGTGTTACTATAGGAAATATGGTTTATTGATGTTAAGAAATGAAATTTGTGTCACTAATTAGTGGTTAACATACGAAATTTAGTTTATTATTAAGATATAAATTCTGGTTAGCGAATGATTGTTAGAGTGTGAATTTAATTCGCTGTTATTACATGATAATTTTGGATTACTGCCTGCAGAGTACAGAAATTTGGTTTACGCTATACAGGTTTACTAGAATAGGGGCAGTAAGGTTTAAGAGGTTATTGCAAGGTGTGTAATCACAGATTGTGTGTGTTAATAGGCTGTACGTATGTAATTGTTGATTTAATTATATTTGTTTTCGTTTTAACATGTTTAGTGTTTACTTTGATATTCTCAATAATTATATCATTGGGCGTAGAGGGAGCTATCCACATATGATGAACTGGTGGCAGTTAGGTGGAATATAGGGCCACACCATAGCTCAAGCGGTTAGTCGCTGGCTTCCCTCCTCAGCGGCCCAGGTTCGATCCCAGCTCTGGTCAAGTGGGATTTGTGGTGGACAAAGTGGCGCTGGGGCAGGTTTTGTCCGAGTACTTCGGCTTCCCCCTTCAATCTTCATTCCACCAAATTCTCCATCATATAATCACCCGGGGCAGGTACAATAGGCCAATCAATGGCCGCCGTGCCGAGTGGACCCAGCTGGACTCCAACCCCCACTAAGCTTTGCAATAAATTTTGGGTGTGTCCCCCCCCCCCCACTTTCATAATAATACACTGGCCACAAGGCGGGAGGCACAATAATCTGATGGCAGCGGTAAGATATAATAAAAAATGTTTGTGTCGCAATTTTTGTGGCAAAACAACACACACCGTCAGAATCAGTTCGATGCTACTGGTCTTGTGAACACATTCTCTGGCAGGTTCTTGTTGTTCGAGCTCAAGAACATATCGAATTAATTACAACGTAATTGATTTTATGGCAGGGAGTTGTCTAAATTAAAGAAGAGTTTTATGCGCGTGTTCTCTCTTGTATAGGCGTTCTTTCCAAGTAAAAAAAATCGGGTAATTATATCTTGTCACTATTAGCGTCCAAACCGTTGAACAGATATATATACAGGGTGCCCCAGGAGGAATGTGCCAAACTTCGGGAGGGTGTTCTTTATGTTAAAGTATGCCAATTTAACCCAAAACACCTATGTCCAAAGTTGAACTGTTACGGAGATTCTTTGTAATTCTGTGCGAGCTATATTTTCGAAAATAGGGGGGCGGCATTCCAGTTCCACCCCATTCACAACAAAGCCGATATTAGATGTTGACCGTTTTCAGTGCTATTACTGTATTGTGACATCTGAAGGCCGGAACAATGGAATCAGAGGAGACGTTCACTGCCAGGAAACGGCTCTGTAAACACATTCCCTCTGCAAAGAATACGCAAGCAACAATGGAGGTATTGTTAGGGGCTTTATTTTCTATTCGGTCCATGCACTGTCAGGGGAAACCGAACTACATAGGGAAAACTTGCTCCAGTGCCGCTTGTCCACCACGACGTCCTGGTATCGTACCCGGGCCGCCGCGGTGGGAAGTCGGTGACTAACAGCATCGGCTGTGGCACGGCCAAGTTCATATGTTGGTCTCGTAGAAGCCGTGGTTGTAGTCTGGCATCTGGGTTGTGCGTGAGGACAATCCCGGAAGGAATTTGCGGGGCAATGGTAGCAGCTCAGCCCTGGAGAAGAGAGAGGGGAGCACCGTTATAACCCAGACAAAAACAAAGAGACTCCGTGGTTTTAGTCCGCAAGCGAACTATGCCGACCGAGCTACCCCCGCTTGTCTGCGAAGTTAGTGCCAAATTCTGTGGTTAGAGGGTGTCGCGTGGTCAGCGCAACGAATCCCCACGGCCGTTAATTTCGGTTTTTAGACCGGAGGCTCTGTTTCCTTGAAATAGCTCCTCAGTTATCAGGAGGCTGAGTGGACCCCGTTCCAGAGCGAGTACTACTAAGAAAAAATCTTTAGCCCCGGGAATCGAACTCTGACCTCTGGATCTGTGTAGCCAGGAACTCGGACTACTAGACCACAGGCGGTCTATAACCCATACAGCACAATTTCATCTCAGTGGATTCGACCAATCCAGCGCCCATTATGTTCAAAATGGTCGTGTCAGAGACAGTACATAGTCATCCTGACTTTACTGTATGAGTTACCCTCATACGAGGCGTTGTCGGGCGTTACGAATATTGCCGATCTCTGATAGATTTTACTGTGTGACATAGTCTTATCAGCTGTAAGCTTTTTGTATGTACAAGCCGTCGAATTTTGTGGAATTGTCTCATTATAAACTCTTTCGTGTTTTGACACGGTTGTCACTGACTGACTGACTGGGAGAATCTTGCGAAATTTTCCTGACCAATTTTTAAGATATACTGGAGGAACAGAAGCGTATTCGCATATTTTGTTATCAAGCTTCGATTTGAATCTAGTACCTCCCGGATGCTGAGCGTATTCCCAGAAGTCTGCTATTGAATGTTTCAGATATGGACAAATCAGCACAGGGTAACAGAACAAACCAGTGCAACCCGAACCATGGACCGACTGGGCCAGGTAAGGTTCATCAGAGCTCTGTGCCTCTTGCGTTGCGTTACTGTACTTCCAACTTCTGGAGTTCGGGATCTCCCCCACTAACGGGAATCTCCGAGGTGCCAGACATCTCTCAACACCCCAGGGATTTCCTGATTCCAAAGGAAAGATGTGCCAAATGTTGGAACCTGGGTAGCTCAGTGGGTATATCAGTAGGCTGCTGCGTGCATTGTAAAATAACTGGGGTTCGAGTGCCGCCAGGTGCAAAAGGTTTTTCTCTCTCCTAAAATTTCTATCTCTGGCGCGTGAAGCTAACCGCTCGCTTCCATCAGGTGCCCAAAATTACGCATGCGTCTTCACAGGGAAAAATTCACCTTCTATTCCACATTTTGATACCAACAATTACATTTTTGCTTTCCAATTATTATGTCACGAGTACTTTGTTTTGGAGCTGTATGACAAACACAAATTTGCAATCAAATTTTGCAGCATGAAATTTTGTGTGCCTGTGTGAAACCCCCAAACAACACCCAGAGAAAGTGCTCAGGCGTCTCTCACCTGCATTTTGGAGGTGCCCAATTCGAATCTCGACTGGCACATTAGCATTGTGTGAGATTTTTCTATTTTGGTCTCTCCGTCGTAGCGAACGTTGAGACGGAGGCTCGAAATGAGCCATGACCACTTCCACATTCTTTCCGGTTGTTTGCTCCATTAGGTGCTATACAGGTCGGACTAGCAACGACTTCGGTTGTTGCAAACAGAGCTGGATTCCCTTTGAATTACTTGCTTTTCTTCCCCTCCTATCTCCCCATCTCTTCATTATTTGTTTCCTCAATTCTAATTTTAAAATTATGTCCTTGCGTTTTTCTATTTTCGTTCCTTCTTCCCCTCCCAAATTTCCTGCTCTTTATCCTTCCTTTCCTCCATTTTAATTGTATAATTATTTCCAGCCCCTGACTTGTAGATGAAGCAGCAAGTGTGTGAAGAAAGTTCTGTGGTATGAAATGGTTGCTTGTTTTCAGGGCGCACTTCAGGATACCATGGCGCAGGCGGAAAAAGCGACCTGGATAATCGCAGCAACCAAATGAATCCAAACAACCCCAAATACCAGGGCAAGAAGTGATAAACCAGGTGGCAGCACCAGCAACAAGCTTCAACGATTCATGTACATTTCTTCATCTGCGATCTGTTCATGTACACTGAAAAAAAATTATGTTCAAGCAGAAAGTTCTCTGTTAATCAGTAGTTACACTTCCAGCAAGAGTTCAATTTCATATGGTTTTCCATACTTCAGAAAAATTGTCCTCAGTTTTGTTACACACTGAATTTTTTTTTGTGGGGTGAGTGCCAATAGGCCTAAATACAAATTAAAATCCATAATGCACCAGTGAATTAGGTATCTGAATATATGATACTGTTGCAGTTACCAACAACTTTATTTAGTTCAACTGCAATATTTTACATTTGTTATGAAGAAATGTTGAAGTTAGGCTTGTCCCAGTCGGGTTGTAGTTTACTCTGAAAATCAATCCTGCATTACAAACTCTATTATATACAAGAATTGTTGGGTCTGCTTGCTGTATGTTTTAACCATCTGATGGCATATGTTTGTATCTGAAGCGTGATTGAATAAAACCACTTGGGTGGCCCTTGAATGTAGTTGCAGTGTATTACTTTCTTTACACCATGGCCCTCATTGTTCCATCATTTCCATAGTGAAATTATAAACAGGGCATTTCTTCGAAACCTCAGTAACAAGATAACCACACTCTCGGTAAAATCTGTCACTTCTGGGCAATTGCATTCTGTCTCCGCCTTCACGTAACAAGCCTAGCCGATTGGGCCCAGTTGAGTAGCCCTTTTACCTGATGGTGAAAGAATCCATTCTCATATGAGTGTGAACATTTGTTAATTTTCCAGCGCAAGAGAACATTTCATTCCAATGAGCAGAGGGGCGTTCAGATATTCATTCATGGAGCCGAGACCTTAAGAAGCAGCCAGTTGTGCAGCTATTCAACAACTTCTCAACATTTTATGGAACCCGAAGTTTCATTATCGTCTTCACAAGAACCTTCCACTGGTCCCTGTCCTGAGCCAGATAAATCAAATCCATACCATCCCATCCTATCTCTCTCAATATTGTCTAGCCACCTACGTCTTCGTCTTCCGAGTGGTCTCATACCTTCCTGGCCTTCCCACCAATGTCCTATAGGCATTCCTCTTCCCCCATTTGTGCTACATGCCCTGCCCATCTCATCCTCTTTGACTTGCTGATTCTAATTATACTTGGAGAAGAGTACAAGTTATGAAGCTCCTCATTATGCAGTTTTCTCGAACCTCCTGTCACTTTCTCTCTCTTCGGTCCTAATATTCCCAACACATTGTTCTCAGATACCCTCAGTGTATGTTCCTCCCTTAATGTGAGAGACTAAGTTTCACATCCATACAGAAGCACAGACAAAATTATAGGGGTGTTCAGGTAATGGCTGTCAAACTTTTCGTTGGTTTTCCAGCCCCCCCCCCCTCTTCTGGCTAATGAAGGGACAGTGCCTTGAAAATAGGCCACGGCTAAATCCATATTTTGTACAATACACTTATCTTCATTTGAACACTAATGAACCTTAAGGTTCCATAAAATTTTGGGAAATTCTTGAGTAGCTGGGCGACAAGTGTTGGCTTCTCAAGGACAGTTTATGGAGTTCCTTATTAATATCACGTAGCGCATACGTTTCTGCCTTCAGGTTTCTCCATGTAAAGTTAAGTTTGATTTAATTTTTGTTTCTTTCACTGGATTTGAGGTTCTCGCAGCGGCTCTTATACGAAGGTAGTCCTTCGGGTCAAAGATGAAGACATGTTTCGAAATGTTGGTGACTTTCCACCGGACTACGGGGTATTGCATCTTAGAAGACAGTATCCTCAAGTCTTGGTTTGGTTTGTTGCTTCGTCCACATTGTGTCTTGTGTTCGGGAGCAGGATATTGAGAACATGAATGGAAGCGACAGGAGGCGTGTTTGGGAGCAGCGTATTGAGAACATGGATGGAAGCGACAGGAGTGAGATGGCGTATTGAGAAGCCGCAGGACTTGTGCTTATTGAAGATTCACAGAAATTAGGATAACATCGGCAAGGAAGGCAGCACGCATGGGAGAGTACACAGGTGCATACAATTTTGGTAATAAAACGTGATGAAAATACATCTCTCGAAAGACCTAGAAGTTGATGGAAGAATAATATTAAAATGCACCTTTTGAGAAATGGGATTGGTGTCTATTTGGTTTATCTCTGTTAAGGGCCAGTTGAGTTGTTTTGAACACAGTAATGAACCTTCGGGTTCAATTAAGTCGATTCAGTTCTTGAACANGTATGGGGGGGGGGGAAGGAACTTATGCCTTACATGCTGTGTAACATTCTGTGATGTTCTGCTTATCAATGAGGTTCGTCCACATATCAACAAAACCTGTTGAACGTAATTCCAAATTTATGCACTTATCGGTAATTTATTCCCCCTGCAGATGAGCAGAGATATCTCAGTTTGTATAGCGACTGGCTACGGGCTGGATGGCAGAGAGGTGGGAGTTCGAGTACCGGTAGGGGCGAAGTTTCTCTCCTCTCCACGTCGTCCAGACCGGCTGTGGGGCCCACCCGGCCTCATATCTAGCGAGTACCGTGGGTATTTCCTCGGTGGTAAGACGGCGGCGACGTGAAGCCGACTACTTCAGCAAGCATACGTGAATCTATACAGCCACTCCCATACTCGTAGGTCTTCCAAGGCGTAGTGCACAGGGAGAACTTCATAACCGTTTACCTTATACCCCTTTTAGTATTTTAAAATGGTTCTGGAGGAGGCACGCACCGAAACGGGAACTGCCTTTGCCTCTCCCTGATACGAACCTGTTGCATGTTCACAGCTGCGCACTTACATGAATGTGTTAGCTGGCAGCAGCGGAGCATACACGTGTATCCATACACAGGTCTCGTCATTGGTACAATCACAACAGCAGTGGAAAATGCACGTAATGACGCCGCTCACTGTGCCTAATCCTGAGCCAATATCATCATTCATTTTATGTCTGATATGAGTATACAAACACGACCTTCAGTGCAGTCTTCCGTGCGGTTGCTGGTTTTACCACTCCTATTTCTTGTCGTACTTATACTAGTGCACATGTTGCGGTCTTAAAAGGAACTTTGTCAAGTTACACTGTTGGCACACTGATCGTGGGCGACACACAAACCTAATTAATTTTATTGTGCCTAAAACATTCGAAATTAAAAACTTAAACAGTTTAAAATTAAATGGTGTGTTACGGCGCCAATTATCAGAGGCAGTTTCCCTCATTTGCTAACAAACATTGCTATCTTAGGAGGGCTGTCACTTGCCGATAAGTGGATATTGACTTTCGCCTCTGCTGCCTAGAGGCGCTGCACACGTTTCGCACCACATACTGCGATAAGATGTTGGTCGAGCAAACTGTTCACAGACACTTAAATCTATGACCCAACCCACACAGAACAAACTTAAATAATGCGGGAGTCACACGGTCCAATTGACGGTTGATGCCCGGTACACGGGCGAATAATTAGCAGTAAACCTACGAGACAGACTAAGGACAGTTATATTGCGCCGATACGGAGTGTCGTAATGGTCATCGTCGTTATTGTCTTCGTGTTCCTGTCTGAGGCACAGCTGACGTCACAAGAAATAAAATGCCGCAGTTTGTGCCAGGGGTCCAATGCAACACGAGCGATATGGAGATATCTGCTCGATGATGAAACGAACGCGGCTGCTGAGATTAATGTGTCGCATAAAGATCGTCTCCTGGAGAAGACTTTCTCATTGGAATATCTGGGCTTGTCCAAGAACAACGTAATGGAATTATCGCAAACCACATTTTCTCGTCTTCTGAACCTTCAGGTATTAGACTTCGCTGATAACATGATCGTAACATTAGGGCGCGTTCAGATATTTCATCTGTTAAATTAGTGACTTTGCGCCTACGACAGCAGAAGAGTGCTTATGTCTGTTGAGTAGGACACACAGCAGGATTATCTTGAATAAAAATGCAAGTAGGACTTCGTGTAAAGTGTCTATCATTTTTGCACGATCTTAACCAAGAACTGAAATATGCACGGATAACCTTTAGTAAAATTTCCCACCTAACGTAAACTGTCAGGAAAATCCATTCGTCTAGCAGACTGTTCAAGAGGTGACGCTACAGAGTTGTCTTCGGGAGATGCACGGCTCGAATTTCGACCACGACACCGGTTATCTTCATTGAGGGTTTTCGTGGAACTGCACAGTGACTGCAGGCAAATGTCCGGTTAGTACCTCCTTCACATCAGCCTCTCTCCCATCCAAATCCTTTCCACATCAAGATTCATTCCTCATCCTAGTCTCGGCATCGAACTCGCCGTAAAATAACAGACAGAATAATATAAAAAGGGAGACAGTCCATCCAATGGGAGCGAAGTAGTTGCACGTGGGCAGCCAGCTAAAAGCTGATTCTCGTACTTCTCGTGAAGGCGCACCGCAAAGTTCGCCTGAATCAGTCGCAGTCATAAACGTACGGGATTTTAAATGCCATGTGCAAATCGCGGACGGGTATTTGTGATAGACTCCTTATATAGACTCGGATCGGACCTACAGAAAACCATCGATTCCCTAGCAACCAGTAATGCTGAGTCATTCCCTAGCAACGAACTGTTGTCCAGAATGTTTTCGCGACAGCGTGTTTATCTGGCTGTTACCTCCAGTAGATTATTCCGGCTTTCAGGCGACATATCACAAAATGCTACTTATTACATTATACGAAATACCATTTTTACTTTTAAGCCATTAATGTTCAGTAAACTTTTTCTTTCCTATCGCTGTGTACTGGCATGGTACTTACCCAATATTGCTAACAAAATAATCAGCTAAGGTATCTCGAATTCTCTGCACATTTGCTCGACTTCCAACAGTGTCAATTTCCAATTCAGTGTCTTCAAATCCTACAACATTCAAAGTATCTTCCCACTGAAATCCATCGCGATCACGAACGAAGTTATGCAATACACAGCAGCCTTTATCAATGTCATCTGCAAAATCAACACTCGTCTCCAATGC